AGTGCTTGACTTCGTTGGCCGGGCTGCAGAGGTGGTTGGGCGGCGATTGGGTGCTCGGCAGGGAGGGGAGGAGCAGGACGTTAAGAATGTGCTTGATGTGGGGGGTAGGGGCGCCCAGGGACTTTCTTGACAGAGTATTGTCGGTGCCGAAGACGAGAGAAAGAAGGATGAGCTTCCGGAGAGAACAGGGAAGCCGCCACCTGGGCAGGGGAGGCACTACCGGTGGTGAGGGAGCGGAGGGGATTTCGGGCATTTGTCGTCGAGGCTCTGGGACGATGCTCTGTTTATTCCTCGAGTGCGGGAGATCTATTTCGAAAACCTATACCACACGCCGGGCACCCCGGTGGAGAAGAATAAGGCTTAGCCGAGACGTTCTGATCATTGCTGAAAAAACAGAATCCTCGCAATAGGAAAGTCGTTTTTCTGCCACCAAACCATGGAACAACTCTGGACACACTTAAACCGGAACGTCGGTGTCCTTTCGAGGGCAGTACATAGCATTGTAAAACATGGAACACGAGATACTGATCCTAGCTAGAACTAAAGGCTCACTGCATATAGGAAGAGAGGTGGTACACTGCAAGCGGCGGGAAAAAAACCAGATCTCAATTGCTATGTGGTGCTTATTTCTTCTTCCTCACTACCAATTCTTCTTTCCAGGCAAGCCCATTTGGCCACTTGCCCTGCATGCTCATCAGGGCCACGAGAGCTGCTCTTTCGTGAAAATGAAAATCTTTTTCACGGATAGTTATCATACCGTCATTGCCATGCGCGTGGAGAGACAGTTTATGGTAGAGGTGAGGAACACAGGCTTTAATTTGATCGGGAACTAGCTTCCGTTTGTCTGCTTCCCCTTGGAGAGCAGACTTGAACTCTGGTCTCTCCGCTAGTTTGACCAGGCCATCCTGCATGCCCTTATACTCACGTAACTTCCGTAGGGCACAAGCATGGTAAATCATTCTCTCTGGGCACCTGTGTTAGTACCTGGCCAATGGTGGTGACTCCGGAGTTCAGACCAATAGCGCCACGGATGTTGAAACGTCCTTCCAGTTTCAGCTTTTCCGTGTATTCATTGATCATCCTATTCTGCTAAGACATTATAGCTCCGAGCCTTTCCAATTCAGAGGTGGTATAACTTACACCTAGCTTCATAAACTCAAGGGATTGGATTCGATTTCACTCCTCCTTCTCCGCAAGATCACGCTTGTACCGCTGGTAAAACCTTTCCTCCTTCTCCGCAAGATCACGGTTGTACCGCTGGTAAAACATTTCCTCCTTTTCCTGAATTTTTGCATCTTTCTCCGCCAGATCACGCTTGTACCGCTGGTAAAACCTTTCCTCCTTTTCCTGAAGTTTTGCATCTTTCTCCGCCAGATCACGCTTGTACCGCTGGTAAAGCTTTTCCTCCTTCTCCACAAGATCCTCCTTGTAATGCTGGTTGTAAATTAGATTCCCGAGATTTCTCTAATTTGGGGTTCACATAACCTACCGCAAGGTTTGCTGCGAGATCCTCTTTATAATGCTGACGTATTGCTGTCTCTTTCTCATCAAGCTGCTGACGCAGTACCATCTCTTTATTGTCGAGTTGCTGCCACATCTTAGCCTCTATCTCTATGAACTAAAGATAATCTGCAGTTTTTCTGTTCCCGAACCTTTCCGACAGAGCCTGGGGTGATGCTACCAATGCTGCGGTGGAATTGCTGAAACCTTTTCATCACGGGACGGCTCTGATTATCCAATTTGAGCCTCCAAATGGTTATGTCGGAAATGGAGGTATAGGCAGACGGAAGTACACCAGCGAAAGAATCGGGGAGGGGGTTAACTAGAAAAAATCGTTTAGAGAAGGGAAACATTGTTGAAGATGCGGGATTGGTGGACCCTATTGAAGGCGAGTATTGATAGTTGGGAGGTGGATGTTGTAGCAAACACAGAACAGGAAATGCAAACCGTAAATCTGTTAAGTCTTTGGACGCCGGGTAACTACACGTTCTTCCTTTACTTACGGCTAGACTACTGGTTGGCAAAAAAAGAGAAAAAAGAACAGACCAGGGTCCACTTTTATAGATTGCACCGCCATTTCATAACATTTCACAAAGTTGCAGCAAGATACGGGATAACTATTAGCTAGAGATACATCCGAAGTCTCTGTACTCCAATTTTCCGAGGCTCTCGGGAAGAACCCAGCATCCAACGGAGCACGTCGCAGTGCATAAGTCGAGTATAATATGCGAGTGGTGTTTGATAGGTAGGAGTATGACGCGCGGAAGGGTCCAACTGTATCATAATTGCAGAGTTGTTGCATTAGGGGTCCTCAAAGTAGGGTTTCAACTGTGGTTCCTCAATTTAGCAGGGCTTGAATCGGGGAACCGACTTGAGGAGTGTAAATGGTCCCCTCAAGTTCCCTCATCATCTTGGCACCTTTCCGCCAATCACCTCCCAGCCTGAATTGAAAGACCACCGTTGCGATCCTACCTTGAGGACCCCTATTGTGTATGGGTTCTGAATTGGCGCATAGGGTTCGCTGTCGAAGGGGGCTATGCCAAAGCCGTCCAAGGTTGGATTAATCCGGGTTCTTCGTGTCAGCGCGGCGGTCGACACCACAACAGAAGGCGACATATGAGTACCGGTGTGGAAACTTGTCCAACTGAGAGCTCAGCGACTGGGTTTGATAGAAGGTTTTCGTCATGGTTACCGGTCTGTTTAGAAATAGGGTGGGATGTACTCATAGACAAGTGTTTAACCAACTACTCGTACATGCTCCCCCATGTCTGCCTTTTCCCCACAACAGGATTACACAACCATCATTCTTTTCTTCCTCCCTGCTGTCCTTGGTGCCGCACCCACTCCCCCCACCCTTTCCACGCCTCTTCTTCCCTTCCAAACAACTTCAATAACCCGTACCTCCCACCTTCACTGTGCCCGGAACCGAACACCGAGTCCTTCCCCGAGCTTGCCCTTCGTCCAACTGCTTGCCCTCTGCTTCGGGCTCTTCATCCTGAAAAAAATAAAAAGTATAATCACTCTGTGGGTTCCACCCATTCGCATTTACTATCTAACTATTTCCGAGGGGCAACCCTATTTTAGGGCCCCGGACAAAGGAATCTCTTCTCATACCATGTCCAAAGGCGTCACCTTTCCTGCCATCCAGTCAGAAACCACTCTCTGGTCCACCCTCGTCAGGGGCAGTAGAGCAATTCCCATTTAGTTTCTCTGCTGATTTCACCATTTGTGGGACTCTAGTGCCTGCGTGGCCTTTTAACTCACAAACCACCAAGTTCGCGGGATCCATTTCTCCAAAGTTCTTCTTCGCTCTCCCCCTCCTCAGCCCGTGATCCTGGGTCCTTGGAGCCTCCAAGAACCCTCCATAACTGGCCCTTAGGTCGGCCAATCGGAGGAAGGACCACTGCTTTGTATCATAGCTCCTGCCCATGGCACTGCCGAACATTCCTCGGTCTCACAGCTGGGGAAACCTTTCGGCTCATTCTCTAACCCGGGCCCTCTCCCCCACCCTCCCCCGTTCTTGTCGAGGGTGATTCCAAACTCTCGAGACTGTCAAATTCATTGCAACTAGTGTGGTGAGCGCACCTGGCGGCTCGCCCTAGGTGCTGGAATTCCCGATTTCTGGAAATTGGTTGTGAGCAGACTTTGGCGACTCATGGAAAGGTAGCAAAGATGACTGATGCATTTTTTGCGCTAGATTTATCATCAAGATCACCATAGCGGCTATCTCTTTATCTCGCTGCCATAACTCGTTTTACGACTAATATGTTTTTTTTGCTCAATCGCTTGTGCCGGACTTCCACAATCTCTACTGAACCCGCCCCCGGGAGAAGGCAGCAGCAATGGACACCCCACGTTCCAAGTCGCCACACTTTACCAATGCCCCCACGGCGGAGCTGGATGATAGGTTCGAGGCGCATTCATTTCCTTGCTCTGGCACTACATCGTCGAACGCTCGTGTCCGTCGGGACATATCGCCCGCTCATCATCTAGG